TAAAATATTTTTTCTCTATTCCTATAAAATCTCCTCTCTTTATATTTCTCTCTCCATTTCCTTATTCCTCTAAAAACCAATCTCCCTCTTTCTATCTCTCTTCCTTTCTCTCCTAGACTTCCTTCCTTATCTCTTTATAGAAATATTATTTTCTTTTCTAAAATTCTACTCAATCTTTCAAATTATCTTAAAATTAGTTTAAAATCAATCAAACTTCAATATTTTTTCTAAATTATAGATATGATAAATTACACATTAAAGTCGGGTCTTAACAACTTAATATCAAAGTAAGGATTCAGATTCAACTTGATGATCGACCACACTGCAGAACTCTTTGATCGGATTGAGTAACAACTCAATCTAATGATTAAGATGTTGGGTGGCGATGTTCTCTATCCGGAGGCTATAAAACCCACAGCCTTTGTTGCAGTTATATGCTTAGTGCAAAGTGGGACTTCTCTTCTCCCTCTACGGCACAATGAAAAAGAAGAATATCTGTCTAAAAGAATTGCAGAAGAAGAAGAAGAACCATTTGAAGATACTGTAGAAGAACCAGAAGAACAAGAGGAGGAAAAAAATAGGAGGCAGAAGAAAAAGGGAAGAAGAAGTATTGGAAGAAGAAGACATTATCGCGCCAATGGTATGCGGGGCATGCCGAGAAGATCTGATTTCTATGGAGTAGAAATTTGCTTTTAAAAAAATATATCTATATATAATAATTAAAAAGAAGAAAACAAAACTAAATATATATGTATATATACATGTTAAGAAAAAAATAAACTACTTAAAAAAATATGTTTAAAATATATGTATATATGATAGTTAAAAAATATACAATTAAAAAAAAAAATTAAAGTTGAATCTAAGGTTGATGTCCAATGGGAGGGAATTGTTGAGATTTTATAAAATTATGAACAATTGCAATGATTGATAAGAATTTTTATATATTTGAACTGTTGTAATTGTTGATAAAAATTCTCAAGTATCTTTTTATATCTATATATATTAGTTGTAAATCAATATAGAGATATAATTTTTGAAATAAAATATCAGATTATTTCTTTTTTTCTCTTTAAATTTTTTATCTTTCTCTTCTTTCCTCTTTCTAAAATATTCTTTCTCTATTCTTCTAAAATCTCCTCTCTCTATATTTCTCTCTCCATTTTCTTCTTCCTCTAAAAACCAATCTCCCTCTCTCTATCTCTCTTCTTCTCTCTCCCAGACTTCTTTCTCTCCTTTTAGAAATCTTATTTTCTTTCCTAAAATTTTAATTCTGTCTCATACTTTCTTAATTTTAAATTCCATCAAATCTTTTAAATTATCTTAAAATTACTTCAAGATCATGCAAAATTTAATATTTTTTTTAAATTATGGGTATAATAAACCACATATTAAAGTTAAGTCTTGACGATATATCATTGTTCTTTTATTATGTTTAAAAGATAATACATGTTATATTATTCATGGGTCATGTTTGGTGCATTTTTTTACCTGATCCTACTTAGTATTTAATCTTGTACTATTTTTTTATAAATAAATGTATCGAGTTTTGACAAAATTTAAATATAAATCTCACAGTTCTTTTTTTAAAATAAAAAAAAAAATTATTAAAAGATCGGACCAATAGAGTACCACCCAGTTACGCGTTATTACATCTGCATCAAATGATCTAACACAATTCTTAATTTATTTATATCTAAAATATCATGATTCAATAATAGAGAACTAAAAGAGCATATCTATCTATCCATAATACAATTAAAATTATTTTTAATTCCTTCAAAAGATTTTGAATATCTCTCTTTTCATACTACCCATAAGACCGATAATGGAATGAGCATAAAATTGCTTTTCTTTTTGCATAAACTTGTCCATGCCCATATTTCAGCTTTCACCAAACCAGCTATTACCCAGTTTATTCCCAAAAATCCGTAGATCATTGTCCAGAATTTGTAAGTCAGTGGACATCCAAGCAACATAATTCCTTATTAGCTTGCACATGAAGCAGCGATTAACCATGCATTTGCCCCTTCTCTTCAACATATTAATGGTTAGAATATATTCTCTACAAGCTTCCCAAGCAAAAAAAAAGCGGCCATTCTTGGCGGTTCCTTTGTCTTCCATATCTGTTCCCATTATTCTCATTGTCTCCATCAAGTTGTTTGTAGAATGATTCTACAGTAAATATTTCTGGAATCCTCTTGATGCCCCAATTCTTGCTTGAGAGACCAAACTGATTAATTGTTGAAACTCATCTATCTCCCAATCATTCAAATTTCTTTTAACTTACACATCCCAGAATTTATATTCCCCATGCGCGATCTCAAATATTCTTGGAAATGTATTTTTTTTAATTTGAAATTTCCAACCCATTCATCTTCCCAGAAATTTATTTTATCACCGTTTCCAACACACCATTTTGTGCATGCTGAAACCATTAAGATTTTCATCCATAAGACTTTTGCTATGATATCCTCCCGTCATTCTCCCTCCAATCCCCATTCTTCTATTACCCCACCTTGACTCAACCACTTACTTTCTCCACAGCCACTTTCCTAGCAATGCATAGATCTCTCAGCCCCAAACCATCTTTATCATATGATTTTTTCACCTATTTCCACCTAACCAAGTGATACTTTCTTTTGTCTAGCGCATCACTCCATTAAAATCTGCATTGAATCATTTCCAGCTTCTTTGCAATCTTGATTGGCACAATGAATACGGACATGTAATAAATCGGTAGATTAGCAAGCATACTTTTGATAAGCGTTAATCGACCCCCCTTTGAAGGAAATTCATCTTCCATCCTGCCAATCTTTTTTCAACCAATTCAACCACACTGGATCCCAAGTTCTTGACACTTTTACCTTTGCACCCAAACGGAGTCCAAGGTATTTCATAGGTAGATCTCCCACTCTACAGCCCAATGCCCCTGCCATTTACATTTCATTTCTTCTATTTCTAATTTTAACCAGCTCCGATTTTGACATATCAATTTTTAGTCCCAACACCATTTGAAAATATAACCAAGCTGCAGCATTGTCGACTCCCCCGGTTGACAGAATATGATACCATCATCAGCAAAAAATAAATGTGACACCTCAATCTTAGAATTCTCATTGCCGAGCATAACCCTTGTAATCACATGTAGTTCTTTTGCCCTTTCCAATAATCTGCTAAAAGATTCCATAACTATTATAAATAAGAAAGGTGAAAGAGGATTGCCGTCTCAAACCTTTAGAAGCTGAAAAAGAATGATGAAGTTCCACCATTAAACATGACAGCAAATACATTGTTTTATCCATTTCCTCCATCTATCACCAAAACGCAGTCTTCCCAACGTATAGTCCACAAAATCCCAATTTGCATCGTCGAAAGCTTTCTCCATATCTAGTTTACATAGAACACCTTCCCTTTTATTACTTACTAATTCATCTACCACCTCATTTGCTACCAACACAGCATCAAGAATCTATCTTCCTTCAACAAAAGCATTTTGACTCTCCCCAATCACCTTCCCAAGAACTTTTGACAATCTTCTAACAAGCACTTTTGAAATCAGCTTATAAAAATACCCCACAAGACTAATAGGACGAAATTCTTTCATACTCGATGCCCCTTCGTGAATTCAAGGATTTGACAAAAGACCTGGATTCATAAAACTCATTAAAAACAGCAACAATATCACTCTTTATGATGTCCCAAAACTCCTGAAGAAATCTCATGTTATAGTCGTCAGGCACCGGCGCTTTATCCCCATTGCACGACATTAATGCAACATGAATTTCCTCTTCTGTAAATTCTTGTTCAACCAGATTTCTACTGCCCACTGTGAGAGATTTGAATTGTAAGTTATCCAGACTCGGTCTCCATTATGTTTCCTCCTTGTACAGCTTTGTAAAATACTTTTTAGCATGCCCTCTCATTTCCACATTTTCACTAATGACTCTGTCATTGTTGGTGAATTGTTCAATGTAGTTTCTCTTCCTTCTAAAGTTGCCAAATAATGCAAAACGTAGTGTTCTGATCCCGTTCCTTTAACTATTTTTCTCTTGCATTTTGTCTCAAGAGATAGGATCCATATTCAATTTGAAAGCTATCTATTTCCTCATTGTTTCTCTTTTATTACATTCCGGTGCCCCAGTTGTTCCATTTCCCTCAAGCCTATCGATTTCTGTGATGCCTCTAATACAATTGTTTATATCTTTATTTATTCTCCCTTCCTCTTCTTTTGCCCATTTTTTGATTTCATTTTTGACATCCTTCAACTTGGCAGCAAACTTGAAGCTGACCGTTCCTTTTGCCTTGTTATTTTACTAAATTTCAAAAACCAACCTTCCACACCCATTTATTTCCAATCATTTGTTATCAAACCTAAAAGGCACGGGACCCCATTTTATGCCATCAGGAGATAAACAGATTGAGAAATGATCTGATATAGGTCACACCAACACAGGTGGAATCAAACCGTCATTTTGCATCATCGGATCTTGTGATATGAGAAACCGATTAATTCTCG